TTGTCTTGTTTCTGATTTTAGAGGAAATGCTTTCAACTTTTTCCATTGAGGATAATCTTTGCTGTGAATTTATTGTAGATGGCTTTTATTGTGTTGAGGTGTGTTCCTTCTATGCCTGCTTTCTGGAGAGTTTTTATCATTAATGGGTGTTGAATTTTGTCAAAAGCTTTCTTTGCATCTGTTGATATGGATTTTATCTTTAAATTTGTTAATATGGTGATTCACATTGATTAATTTGCAAATACGAAGAATCCTTACATCCCTGGGATAAAACCCACTTGGTCATGATGTATGATCTTTTTAATATGTTGTTGGATTCTGTTCCTAGAATTTTGGCTCAGAACCACCTGCAAGGAAGAATCCCAGATGGCAGGTATACACCAAGGTGTAGCCAAAGATGGGGAGGTCTATGGCTCTCACATCTGCATGGGCTGGTGTTTCAGGCTGGCGGCAGGCGTGAGCTGAAATGGGATTTAGTCCATTAGTATGTCCATTGGAGCCTAAGCATGTGTGTCAAAGGAAATACAGAGAAAGAGATGGAAATGGCTATAAAGTTAGTTTACCATTTAAAATTGAGAATACGGGAGCTTAACAGATCACTGACGTTCTGGTCTCTGCAGCTTACAGCACAGCAGAGCCTTGGTGTTGCCATGTCTGTCTCTTCCTCTCCCCCTACCCGTCCCTCACTCTCTCCTCCTCCTCTTCTCTATCTGTCTGTCTTCTATTTATCACCTGTTTATCTATCATCTATTTATCTAGTCTCCTTCTTTGCATACATGTGTGTATGTAAATATGTTATATAAATTTAGAAATCATAGCTTTAAAATAAACACTTCTGACATACTGTTAAGATAAATGGGGCCTCCCTAGTGGCTCAGATGGTAAACAGTGTGCTTGCGTTGCAGGAGACCTGGGTTCCATCTCTGGGTCAGGACGATCCCCTGGAGAAGGGAATGGCTACTCACTCCAGTATTCTTGCCTAGAGAATTCCTTGGACAGAGGAGCCTGGCGGGCTACAGTCCATGGGGTTGCAAAGAATTGGACTCGACTGAGAAGCTAACACTAAGATAAATAATATGTTAAATTTCCTTAAAAGAGCAGTCCTTTAAACTAAACACAGATTAATGTGTACTTTAAAATATGCTTTGATTTTTGTCCAGTGGCAACTAGAAAATTTACTGCTCAGTTAAATGAATAATTAATTTTGTTTAAAATCCACTGTGTGTTTAGAAAGGTAATTGAAATATAGATTCTTATTTCCTTTAAAAATATCATTTAGGAGTAAATAAGGTTGTAATTGTTTTTGTTGTTTAGTTGCTAAGTTGTGTTTGACTCTTATGACCCCATGGACTGTAGCCTGCGAGGCTTCTCTGTCCATGGATTTTCCAGGCAAGTATACTGGACTGGGTTGCCATTTCCTTCCACAGGGGTTCTTCCCACCCCAGAATCGAACCTGCGTCTCCTGCATCGGCAGCCAGATTCTTTACTGCTGAGCCACCAGGGAAGCCCCAAGGTTATAATGTGCTGTGCTGTGTGTGTGGTGTGCTAAATTGCTTCAGTCATGTCCAGCTATTTGTGACCCTATGGACTGTAGCCACCAGACTCTTCTGTTCATGAGATTCCCCAGGCAAGAATACTGGAGCGGCTTGCCATGCCCTCCTTCCAGGGATCTTCCTGACCCAGGGATCAAAGCCAAGTCACTTACTTATGTCTCCTGCATTGGCAGGTGGGTTCTTTACCACTAGCGCACCTTGGGAAGCCCCATGCTTGATCTCAAATAACTTATTGTTCTTTATAGAGTGCACATTTATGTCTCAAATATAGGACTTAGCCAAGTATTATAAAAACAAGTTTATATGATTAATGTCACTAATGCAGTCTTTTTAAGTATTGTAATATTTTTCACTTTGACAGACTTTCAAGGTGGTGGTGGTTTAGTTGCTAGATCAACTCTTGCAACCCCATAGACTGTTGCCTGCCAGCCTCCTCTGTCCATGGGATTTCCCAGGCAAGAATACTGGAGGCGTTTCCATTTCCTTCTCCAGATTTTCGAGGTAATGAAGACCTAATGTTAGCAAGCTTCACACACCGACACACACACCTATGTGTATATACATACATATACATGCATGTATGTGTGATATCTCTGTATAATATTCACATAGAGAATTCATGTCGAGATTTAGAATAGAGATGATAGCTTTGAAATAAATACTGATACATAAATACACAAAATTCACAACTTACATACTCAGAAGATATTTGCATATAGCTAATCTGGTAAGAGCTAGACACTATGTTGCCCTAGATTGGTAGAGGATGAAAGGTTTATTACTAATCATTACATTTTTCCTAATTCTAATGATTAAATCACAAAACAAAACTTTGTCCTAAGTATCTGAATTAACAATTCATATGGACTCCAAAAGAAGAGTTTAAACACTTGTATTAATACTCTGACAAGTCACATGACCTTTAGTGATCTGAGGTGAACATCCTAGGGGAGTAGGAGCACATGCAGGTCTTCTCTCGGTGAGTGTTAACCAGCATGTTATTCACCGGTCTTTGGTTTGGGATAATTTCTCAGGCTTTGGGGCCTGGGTATCACCGGAGGTGCCTGGGAACTACAGACAGGGGTCCCCCTCCTCTGCACCCCACCCGCCCCTGGCCCCCAGAGCCTCAGATACTGCAGGTATGTGCAGGATGGGACTCAAGATTCGAACTTCAGCCAAATTCCAGGTGCTGCTGCTGCTGCTGGTTCTAGGGAATCAGACTGTGAGAAATGAGTTTAGGGAATGGAAAGAGACAAACAAAAATAAGCCCCTCATTGTTTCTCAGGAAGGTGAATTCTTCCAGCTGCTGGAGAGCAGACAGGCCCTGCCCTTGCACAGGGTCACACTTACGGATGCACTCTGTCTGGATGCCACTCCACATCAGGTTCGCCAGGCAAGTTCCAGTTGTAGAGCCTTGAACGTGGTAATCTTTTCGGCACCGGAAAAACACCATGCTTCCAACCTGGAGGGGAAAGCCAGCACCAAGCTCAGAGGTGCCACGGACACACTTGCGCTAGAAAGCACGCTCCAGGGTCAGGGGTGAACCAACGTGTACATGTAAAATGTGGGTTAAAGTGTCAGACACAACTGTGTTAAGTTGCTCAATTGTATCCAACTGTTTTGTGACCCCATGGACTGTAGCCCGCCAGGCTCCTCTGTTCAAGGTATTTCTGAGACAAGAATACTGGATTAAGCTGCCATTTCCTTCTCCAGGGGATTTTTCCAACTCAGGGATCAAACCCACGTCTCCTGCTTGGCAGTGTTAGACACAGTACAGGTTGTTCAATGGGTCATGTGAAGTCTTAGATACGGTGACTTGTGATTATTTAGAAGCAGTTTATTTGGGTAACAAAAGTATGCCTTTTCTCTTTAGTTTTAGCCTTATCTCTTTAGTTTGTGATAATTTTATTTTCCTTTTCTGTTTTTTTCCCCCCTGCTAGTCCTATTCTGGCCTTCCCAGGTGGCTCGGCAATTAAGAGTCCACCTGCCAATGCAGGAGACCTGGGTTCAATCCCTGGGTTGGGAAGATCCCCTCTAGGAGGAAATGGCAACCCACTCCAGTATTCTTGCCTGGAGAATCCCCTGGACAGAGAAGCCTGGCAGGCTACAATCTCTAGGGTCGCAAAAGAGTCAGACATGACTTTGAGACTAAACAACAAGCCCTATTCTAAGCAATTAGTGCTTGTTAGCAAGTTACTTTCCCACTTCAGTACTCTTGCCTGGAAAATCTCATGGACGGAGGAGCCTGGTAGGCTGCGGTCCATGGGGTCGCTGAATCAGACACAACTGAGCGACTTCAGTTTCACTTTTCACTTTCATGCATTGGAGAAGGAAATGGCAACCCACTCCAGTGGTCTTGTCTGAAGAATCCCAGGGACGGCGGAGCCTGGTGGCCTGACTTCTATGGGGTCGCACAGAGTCGGACACAACTGAAGCGACTTAGCAGCAGCAGCAAGTTACTTTAGCACTTGCAGGAACTGGCTTGGAGACTGATAAGGACTCCGTCGTAGAATCCTCCAGAACTATTCTTCTGATGGTCTCAGTCATCTCTTTAAAAGATGGCATCTGGGTTTTTAAATGATTAGTAAATCTTGCCTTGGGTCCAGCCTGTTATCTGGGGTAGTGTAACTACTTTGTCATAAGGGGAATGGTGGGACACTCCTCCCGGTTAGCTTCTCACAGCAGATCGCAGGACTGCATCACTGAAAGCAATCATGATGAAGGTTCACTTCCTACAGGCCACATGCAGGCAAGTTAGGGATCACTGAAACCAGGGGTGACCGCAACTTGGGTTTCTCATGGTAAGTTAGTCAGAATGCCCACATCTTGTATTTTTTGGTGTTGGAATATGTTCAGCATATGCCAGAAAACATGACCTGAAGCTGTAAGGCCACATATGAGACCCTATATAAAGTGCGCTAGATTTAACCCGGGGACCTGTGAGGCTGTCCTGGCAGAGTGAAGTGAGGCTGTCAGGAAGGAGCCAGTGTGGCATCAGGGCAATCAAATGAGGACAGTTTGCACTTCAGGAAAAAGGAGGAGAAGCAGCTGAAGAAAAGGGACTTTTATTCTCAATGAATGGGAACGGTAACTTGAAAGTCGTGTGTATGTTTAGCTCTGGTTTTCAAAGCTATCTGATCAGAGGACCTGAAGTCATTCAATTACTTAAGATGGTTGAAACATTTTATTTCAAGCTTCTTTACTTTCCATTTTTAGGTGTTTCTCTGATATTTGTGTTAACATAAGTGTTAATATACTTTGAAGGCATTTTCTTCTTCTGTTTTTGTCTCTGGGATTTAATGTTATTCACCTATTCAATCTGGTCACCAAGTGGAGTCCTCTTATGTGAATCAGTGGCAAATCACCCTCATTTGAGATTTGCTATGTCAATTCAGCAGACAGAAAGAAATATATATGCTTTCAAATAGAAATTTATATAGCAATTCTATGTGAATCAGATACAGTTGTCTCAGTTCTAACAGTTAACATAATAAGCAGAAATCCTCTTTCTGAATGGACTATATTTGGGCAAATGTAAGATGAGTCAGATATGCTACATAAACACGTGTGTATTTAAGTATCAATTACACTTTCACATAGAGAAAAACGTAGTAAAATAAAAATGGAATACCTCATATCCTCCTGAACTCTTCTGTATTCCAAACTATGGAGTACCAGGGTCTGGGCAGGTGTTATGAGCAGGATCTGAAACTCACAATTAAAAAAAAAAATCAGAACCAGATATGGTTATTACAGGAATTCTAATATTTTTACTAAAAGGCCTTTCAAAAAAAAGATCAAAAAATAAATAAATAAAAGGCCTTTCAGAATTCAGAAAATTGTGTTTTGACAAGTGGCAAGATGATTTGCAAGAGAGTTAAAAATTAAATTTCTATTTTCATCTTTTTTCTGACTTCTTTAGATGTTAATCTTTAGTGCTTTATCAGACTCTAAATTGCTCTGAATATTATTTTCTATGTCAAAAGAAGCACATTCTTTTGTGCTTTGGTTTAATTTTTCTCTACTGACATACTCTGTTGGTTGGTTAATGATATATAATGTTCAATAATTACCTATTATGACCTTTTATTTTTTATTGATTTAATTAATTAACATTTCATTTGGCCATCTATTATTCTAAATGTCTTAAATTAATTTTCCTCAAGATTTCAAAATCGGGAATATACTTAATGCTTCAAAATAAAAGCATATGGTAGACCAACAGTGATATTTTTCTAAAAAATTGTACTACTTCAGCAATCAATGAGTGGCTTCAGTATGGTAGCTCTCCAGCTGCTGATGGGAAAACAAAATGGATAACTTCAAAAAAGTATGCTTTCAAGAGGAACTAACCTATTGGGAAGAGAAGAAAACATTTTTTTTTTTTTAGTTTTTCAGAAATAGCTAAAGTAAAGCAATAGTTTTAGCCCAATGGCAGTAAACTTTAATTATAAAAAGCTGTGTTCCAAAGAAATCATTGTTGACACCGTATTTTTAAGTAGATATTTACTTTCTCAGAAAACAACCAGGGATAGAAGTCATTCCCTGCTTGCTGCGTGTGTGCAGAAGGCCCTCTCACGCTCGGGGAAGCAGGGCGCGCAGCGGCCGGCCATCACTCGCTCAGTCTGCAGGGCAAGGTGGAGGCAGGCTGGGAGTGAAGCAGGGAGGATTCTGGTTCCTGTGTGACTGACGCAGTGACTGTCGACCAGCATAATTTCTACCTGAACCCTTCCTATGAGACAGAGATTTAGTCTAAAAAGGAGGGGTTGAGGTCACGTAGAGAATCTCTTTTAACTTGTAAGTTTCACTTCATGTTGGAAGGTCAACAGAGCACGCGTGACCCTGTAGCCCTTTCAGCCGTGGCTGATAGAGCAGGTGGTTTACTGGGGGCGGGGGTGGGCTGGGGGAGAGGGTGTCAGGAACTGAAGTGGGGGCCCTTCTGGTGCCACGACAACAATGAGATCTTCAGCAAACTGGTCTTTCCCCTGAAGATCGCGGTTGTCAGCTGACATGGGCAGAGAGGGGGCTGCCAGGGTAAGAGAGTCTAGGAGCTGTTTTTAAATGAGTTGTCATGTCAACTCCAAACTCCGTGCAGGATTTAAAAGAGGCTGCCATCAGCATGGCTGGTCAGCAGCTGCACAGAACATCTCCCAGGAGAGCATCACCTGTGTGCCCACAAATGCTCCAGCTTTAGAATGAAACGCCCCCTCCCCACCCCCAGGGCTGTCTTGCCGTCATTACCAATGCAGGTGGGCTGGACGCCACTCCAGGTGCCGTCTGCCTGGCAGACTCTCCGGGACGACCCCACCAGGAGGAAGGGGGACTTGCACTGGAAGAAGACTTCGGATCTGTAGGTGAAGCTTTTGCCACTGAGGCGCCCCTCCGCAGGGGTGCCGGGGTCCCCACAGAACACAGCTGGAGAAGACAACCAGGAGGTCAGTGCACAGCCTGTGCCCCTGGGCGAGCTTGTCTATTCAGCTTGTCTAACTGCTTTCCATTGAGTCCTCCCATTAAGCCCTGGGAGGCCCGGTGGGCAAAGAATCAGCTTGATTCATGTCAATGTATGACAAAACTCACTGCAATGTTGTGAAGTAATTAGCCTCCAACTAATAAAAATAAATGAAAAAAAAATAAAAAATAAATAAATAAAAATGCAAACAAAACTGAGAATGCCATATGTACATTTATTACATATTACATTTATTAGCTTGTACATTTATTACAAGCTAAAAGGTACTTGTATTTGTGAGAGATAAGGCTTGAATCACAATTCTGTAATTATCAATATATTGTAGATAGAGATAAAAAAATAAAGATAAAAGAAGGCTGTTTTATTAAAAGCAAAAAAAAAAAAAAATCAGCCTGATATGCAGGAGACGCACGTTCAATCCCTGGGTAGGGAAGATCCCCTAGAGAAGGAAATGGCAACCCACTCCGGTCTTCCTGTCTGGAGAAGCCCATGGACAGAGGATCTTAGAGGGGTATAGTCCAATGGGTCACAAAGCACATACACTCATTAAATCCTTAGGAATCAATGATGAAGAAAAGGACAGAATCTGCCCTTGGGCACCGTGTGTCAAACGTGGAGTCTTTAACCTTTTGCACCCTGGCTACAAGTCCCGCAGGCTCTCCTGCTCAGACTGCAGCCCGAGGTTTGTGTGCTGTGGTTTGTGCTCCTGAGGACTTACGCAGGCACTGGGGGACCTCGCCTCTCCAGACCCCTCGGCCTTCACAGGAGAGGATGGCGGGCTGGGAGAGCTGGAAGCCGTGGGTGCAGCTGTAGCTGATGCTGGCACCCCAGCGGAAGTCCGTTCCTTCCACCTTCCCATCCTGGACCGGAGGAGGCTGGCCGCATGTGATGGCTGTCAGAGAGCAAACAGGATTCAACACTCTGGAGTTTCCACCACAACACCGCTCTCCAAGGCCTCACAGTTTAATTTCACCCATGTTGCAACACATCTACAAGGGGCTGAATTTTTTAATAGACAAATTATTGAAGAAGATAGTAAATCAAAATAATAAAACTTTTCTCTAACATTTCCTCATTAATTTAGATCAAGTCCATAAAAGCAAAGCAAGGTCAAAGCATATCCCACCATAAAAGAAGGTGGAGTAAATAAGACAGTCTCAGTCTATAAGACAAGAAAGAAAGACTTTGTTCCACTGATGTCTTCTTACAATGGTTACCAGAGGCAAATTCAGTCAGAAGCATGGTCCTATGACATGAGTACAAACATTTGAATTTATATAAACAGATGGCAAGAATTTCTTTATCTGTACTTTTTTCTTTATATAAAAGAAAGAAGTGAAAGTCATGAAAGTGAAAGCGAAGTCACTCACTCGTGTCCAACTCTTTGCGACCCCATGGACTGCAGCCTACCATGCTCCTCCATCCATGGGATTTTCCAGGCAAGAGGACTGGAGTGGGTTGCCATTTCCTTCTCCAGAGTCTTTATGTAAAGATAGCATATAGTTTCCAAAAGACATACATAGGCTGCTGATGCACTTGCTGCAGAACTGAGCCCTAACACTTGCGTGGTTAGAGAAGACCCTGTAAGAAACCGCTTGGCCAGGCTCTGTCTCATCCACGGGCTTCGAGGGAGAACACTCTTCCCAGGAGTGAGTGCCCGCTGGTGCTGGCGTCTGCCTGGCCCACTCCAGCCACTGTTCTGCGACTCCTGGTCTAAGAGCTCCCTGAAGATCCAAGAGGCTTCACACTGGAGGAGGTTTGCCGCTGACAGTGGGCACGGAAGGCGGCAGGAGAGGAGACTCAGCTGTATTTCCTCCCCTGCACTTTCTCACGGGTGCTCACACCTTCTCACGTGAGAAAGACACAGACCCAACCATGCGTGCACGCCCGGAAGCTGGACACGGGCCCTCCGCTTGCCATCCACCTTCCCTCCATCTGTGCACTCATTCAACAGAGATTTCTGCAGAACCCCTAGCGAAGACTGGGGGAACAGTCTAGACAGGTCGATGTCGGGTTCCAAAGCCCCCAGGTGGGAACGGTGATGAGTGACGTGGCTCCAGGGAGGAGTGGGCAGGGTGGCCAGCAGGAGAAAAGACAGGTCTCATCCGTGAGGGCTGTGGAAGGGTTGTTAATCCAACAGACACTAAACAGAGGAACAAGATCTACCCAAATGTATCTGAAGTCCAGAGATCAGACATTCTAGGGATAAGCACGTGGACACGCTCACTGGACTCGAATGCTCCCGACAGGACTGTGTGAGCTGCATTTAACACCCTCTTAGCACCTGCCACAGAGCTGCACGGTGCTAATAACTGCAGCTGAAAAGAAGGACACGAGACAGGGCTCCTCACCCTCTGATGGGAGGAAACCAGGATGCACCAAAACCGCCCAGGCCGGAAGGGCGTAACAGGGCCCTCGGGGTGGGGTCTCCTCTGACCTCACAAGACTGTCCACACAGGACGCACCTTCCTCCTGAGGGTTCCTGCTACTCCAGCTCCCAGCTCTTCCCCCTTCCTCATCTAACGACGATAAGGCGCCCCTTTCTCCTGTGTGGTCACTGCCGGCCTCCACGCCCTCTCCTGCCCCTGCCCCTCCTGCCCAGCTGAGAAGGCCTGCAGCTCGATCTGGAGCTGGTGGAGACGCTCACCCTGCAGATCAGCCCTGGATCAGTGGTCCGCCAGCCCCTCTGCTCCCCTAGACGCCTTCTGCCTGCTCACTCTCTCCCTGGAAGGTCCACCGGCCAAGTGGGGAACCTTCCTGTACCCCCCCTTCGTGATGTGGCTTCCTTAGTCTCAGCGCCCGAGCCCCACCAGGCATCAGGACACTGGCAGTCTCTGCCACTGTTCTGCCCTATCTGATGATCGGCTCTGACCCGCCTCTCCAGCCCCGTGATGACGGCCACAGACTCAACACAGCCACGCACACGGAGACAGAACTGGGTTCACAGCACCGACTCCAGAGTCATCCCTGAAGCCCGATGTCTCCAAGACCTGACCTGAGACCCGAGAATTTACTGCAACTCTCTGTGAGTCAGTCTCCGGGCTGTAAAACCAAGATTAAGGTAGTAAGAAAAGGAAGTGATTTAATATTTGCGAATGAGTTTACAGGAATGCTGAGCACATAGAAGGTCTACATGGATGCTTGCAAACTGATGTAAAACGTTAACTCAATAAAGAGTCTCCACGTGTGAGTGACGCACAAGAGAAGCCCCAGCACTCACCTTTGCAGGTTGGTTTGCTGTGATTCCAGGCACTGTCCTTGGTGCAGCGGATGGTGGGGGACGTGGCGGGCTCCATGGTGTAGCCGGGGTTACACTGGTAGCTGACCGTCTTGTTGAAGGTGAAATCGGTCCCGAATTGGATGCCGTTAGCCAGGGTCCCTGGGTCTCCACAGCTGATGACTAACCAGCAGAGAACAGACACAGAGAGAGACAGCATCATCACGGGATGAATGACTCCTGGTTTCTGTTTAAGGGACTCTCCTTAAGCTGCTCTTCAGAGCGATGACGCTGTGGCTGAGCACAGCGATGCCAGCCTCTCTCTGGGGGACAGTTTCGCTGGCCGGCCATCAGGAGGCTGCATGTTTGGAACAGCTTATTTCTACTCCACTGGTGATTGGCTGTGTGGATGACAGCTGTCATCTGCATTCTGTTCTTAACTAGATGTCGTGAGGGGTCACCCCACAAAGTCAAGGACAGAGACACAGGCTGAGATCAGAGAGAACCAGGCTCCTGCATCATTTCCCTTCAGACTAACTGGTCCACAGAGAGAATGAACCTTGCCTTTTCTGAACTCAGTTTTATAATATCCAACCCAACCAGTCAGGCAAAGCATTTTTAACCATATAAGTAAGAAAGTGAAGAAAAATCTAGAAGTGCTTAGAAAGTGGTCCTATTAGCAAACATACATGTGATATAATCCCTTTTTCCCTAGGGATTAAACAATACAGCCTCTGTAAAATCAGCTCCTTCTCCCAGTCCAGTGCGAGTCGCTGTGGGGACCTGGGCCTGGCCAGGCCGGCGGCCACTCACGCGTGCAGTCGGGGGCCGTGCCGGTCCAGGTTCCGTTGGCGGTGCAGTGGCGCGTGGTCAGCCCTGAGGTCCTGTAGCCGTCCCAGCACGTGTAGACCACGGAGCTTGAGAACAGCATGCCGTCGCTGCTGACGATCCTGCCGTGGGCGGGCGTCCCCGGGTTCCCACAGGACACAGCTGTGGGGGACAGAACAGCAGCGGGAGACCCGTCACCACGCGATAAACCTGAGAGGTCGAGGGCCGTCTGTGTAACGGACCGCGCATTTATTTAAGAAATCATGGGAAGGACACTGTGGTCCTGCCCCACCCCAACATCCCCTGCCTGCCTTTCATCTGTAGAAAAACTGTAGCCAAACAATGAATTTAATCAGAGAAGTGAGAAAATGCAGAACCAAAGAAAGCAGTCCAACAAGACAAAATAAAAATAGTTTAGTCACAAGTCAGGGCCTTTAACAGTTCCTCCTCCAGGGCTGAAGATAAAATTGTGAGCCGTGTCCTATGAGCTCTTATGCAGAAACAGAGACCCCTGCCAGGTGGAGAAGTTAACTCCACGATGAGCGGACTGCAGCCGTGACACAGGCTGCCACAAGTCTCAGGACCGGCCTCGAGGAAATGGGGGCAAACCAGTCCTGGAACTGAAGGCTGACTGCACTCAAAGAGCCAGATGATGCTGGTCAGACCACCGACCACCGACCACCGACCACCAACCTGAAGATGACCGTCAGAGCTGTCTGTGCTGTTTCTGCATGAGCGCCCTCCTCCTGTCTATAAGAGCTCTGTGCTTGTGCTCAGTCGTGTCTGACTCTTTGCGAGCCCATGGAATGTAGCCTGCCAGGCTGTCTGTCCAAGGGACTTTCCAGGCAAAAATACTGCGTTGCCATTCCCTGCTCCAGGGGATCTTCTCCACCCAAGGATCAAAGCTGAGTCTCTTTTGTGTCCTGCATTGGCAGGCAGTTCTTTAACGCTAGTGCCACTTGGGAAGCCCACAAAAACTCTAGTCCCTGACCGGCTTTGGAATGGCCGCACCTTAAATCTCTCCAAATGACCACAGTGTCATCATGTACAGGCATGGAGACTTCAGCTAGGACGGGCAGGGTAGCAGGCCTGCCCTCTGAGTATCTGTCAGGTACGTTCTTTCCTCAGCAAACAGGGAAACTCAGCAGGTTCTGGGTGTGTATCAATGTGATGATCTCAATCCTTTATGGGTTTTTTGCCTTTTTTCATTGAACCTATTTACCATAAAGACGGTTATTTTTCCTGCTTAATCCTCCCACAATAATAATGCACAATAGACATACAAAGAATGTGAATTCTAATGCCAACAATGTATCATGAGTCCCTTTTCTGAGAATGATCAAAATATTTGAAATACTCTGGCCTATTTAGTTGTTCCACTTTCAAACTTAGCCTGTAAACAAATACACACTCTTCTTAAAAACATGGAAGAAAACAGATTGCAAAATAAAAGCCACTATAATAGAAATTTATGAATTCCTTATCATATTATGTTAAAAAATGCACATACTCTCAGATTGGACTAGATTTTTAAAAAATTTTTTAATTTCAATTATTTATTTATTTTACTTTACAACACTGTATTGGTTTTGCCATACGTTGACTTGAATCCGCCATGGGTGTACATGCGTTCCCCATCCTGAACCCCCTCCGTACTCCCTCCCCATCTGATCCCTCTGGGTCATCCCAGTGCACCAGACCCTAGCATCCTGTATCATGCATCGAACCTGGACTAGATCTTGTTTGACAAAAAGTATACTTGTTGGTGCTTACGCCTGTGCCTATGCTTCAGACATAGCATAGCTAGCTATAGTATAGCTATAGTAAAGAATGCGCTTGTAATGCAGGAGACCTAGTTTAGATCCCTGGGTTGGGAAAATTCTCTGGAGGAGGAAATGGCAGTCCACTCCAGTATTCTTGCCTGAAGAATCCCATGGACAGAGGAACCTAGCAGGCTACACAGTTCCTGGGGTTGCAAAGAGTCGGACACAACTGAGCAATTAACACTTTCACTTTTCTACCTCAGCTATAACTAATCAGTTACAACCTTCTCCCCTGATGAGTCTGGGTTTGGATTTACAATCCCTTCTAACACAGATCATTCAGTGGTTTCTTGGTTGACATCTGAGATGAGATATATTTACCAGTCCTGAGGCAGAGGATACCTAACATCCTATAAAGCTCAGAGTCCTTTGACGGCTGTGACATAGGTTAAAGTTTCACTTAGCAAAAATCCAAGCCCATTCAAGAACATTCCTCCACCCCACAAACACTGACCCACTGCTTCCTCTGCACAGTTACTGCTCACAGGCGTGGGTGCAGACCTGACATGGCAAAGAACTGCATGGATCCAACCCACAACAAGAGGCGCCTGCCACTGCATATCATTTCCGCCACATCTGCTATTAAAACCTACGAGCAGTTTCCAAAAGTGACCTGTGAGAGACTCATGTCGAAATAAAGCAGGTGACTGTGGAAAAATACTCAACTTAATTTACAGACAGATGTATTGTCAGTAAAGGAATGTCCATCATAATGATGACACCCTGATGTTTATAAAGTCCCCTCTAATATTGTATTTGATATAGTCAAATTCATGGTTAACTTTTTTTTTTCCTGACAGGGATTCTTTCACTGATGATCATGCCTATAAAAGTGTAAATTAGAATCAGGGTCAGCATATCTGTTTTTATACCAAGGTCCTGAGGTTTCAAGGCATACAAAGACTGACACTTAAGCAAAATGACAGATTACATTTTAAGGATGATAGAAAACAAGATATTTTGAAAATTACAAGTTAAAATTTCTTTTTAAATACATCTTTTTAAAAAGTACATTTAGTTAATGTGCCTCCTTTTCATAAAAGATCATTGTCTTTTACTCAATTTTTAATATGGCAGAAAGTGAAGAAGAACCAAAGAACATCTTGATAAGAGTGAAAGAGGAGAGTGAAAAAGTTGGCTTAAATCTCAACATTCAGGAAATTAAGATCATGGCATCAGGTCCCATCACTTCATGGCAAATAGATGAGGAAACAGTGGAAACAGTGGCTGACTTTATTTTTCTGGGCTCCAAAATCATTGCAAATGGTGATTGCAGCCATGAAATTAAAAGACACTTATTCCTTGGAAGGGGGGTTATGACCAACCTAGACAGCATATTGAAAAGCAGAGACATTACTTTGCCAACAAAGGTCCATGTAGTCAAGGCTATGGTTTTTCCAGTAGTCATGTATGGATGTAAGAGTTGTACTATAAAGAGAGCTGAACGCAGAATTGATGCTTTTGAACTGTGGTGTTGGAGAAGACTCTTGAGAGTCCCTTGGACTGCAAGGAGATCCAACCAGTCCATCCTAAAGGAGATCAGTCCTGGGTGTTCATTGGAAGGACTGATGCTGAAGCTGAAACTCCAATACTTTGGCCACCTGATGCGAAGAGCTGACTCATTTGAAAAGACCCTGATGCTGGGAAAGATTGAGGGCAGGAGGAGAAGGGGATGACAGAGGATGAGATGGTTGGATGGCATCACCGGCTCAACGGACATGGGTTTGGGTGGACTCCGGGAGTTGGTGATGGACAGGGAGGCCTGGCATGCTGCAGTTCATGGGGTTGCAAAGAGTCAGACACGACTGAACAACTGAACTGAATAAGATAGCATCATCAGTTCAGAAAGGTAGCATCATACTTATTCCAAATATGCATTATTGTTTACTGGCATCAATATTGTTCACTTATCATGCTATATTAGGATGATTGCTGTTAAACTGAGTTAGTAGTAGGTTTGAATCTCTGCTCATACAAGTTAAAATCAATGTGAGTGATCAATTCGAGTTCTCAACATGTAGTGTCTTCACTATAAAATGGATAAAAAAGATAATTGCTCCCTGTTGTAAGATTACACATGTGCATGCATACTTTGTCTCATCTGACTCTTTGTTACCTCATGGACTGTAGCCTGCCAGGCTCCTCTGTCCATGGGGATTCTTCAGGCAAAAATACTGGAGTGGATTGCCGTTTCCTCCTCCAGGAGATCCTCCCAATGTAGGGGTTGAAACCACGTCTCCTGCATTGGGTTCTTTACCACTGAACCACCTGGAAAGCCATACTAAGTGCAAAGTGCCACCATCTTGTATAGACATAGTCCTATTAGTGTTTTTCTTCTTTTCATTATCATCACTTTAATCACATGTCCATTACATGAATAAAGGTCAACCTTATCATAATCTCCTGGGAAAGAGGATTAGGAGTTACCCCAAAGATGTAGTTATGTTTACACAACTTGGTAAGATATATCCATTTGAAAAGCTAAGTCAGTGAGCCTGTGATTCAAAGACTAGATCTTAACAAAAGAAAACATGATTTAAAGTGATGAAAATAGTTATCAGAAGTTTAAGGTTTTTGATGCTTAAGAATTTTTCAATTATTTTTCTTTTGTAATTCATGAACCCATTTTTAAAATTTATTGAAGTATCCCATCAGGATCTAATTTTTTTTTTAATAGATTCAGAGAAGGTAAATTCATTAGGAGGGGCATGACCTTGGTCAGGGGATTGAGTACATAGATCATGGTTAACCTCTGTGGCAATGAAAAGTTGCTGATAACCCCACTTTCTACAGAAAATAATGTGTGCCCCAAAGATATGGACCTGTGATAGCAAGTAAGAAAAAACAGAAAGTGATAGATTTTCTACAACTTGAAAAGTTGTAAGTGTGTGTGCAGGAGTGGGAAGGGATTAGTCATATATTCCTAGACATCATTTGTGGTTTCCCTGAGTGTAACTGAACTATCACTCACACAGCTTTCCATGATTTCTGCACAATGCAGTTGTGCTTAGTCGCTCAGTAGTGTCTGACTCTTTGTGACCCCGTGGACTGTAGCCCGTCAGGCTCCTCTGTCCGTGGGGTTTCTCCAGGCAAGGATACTAGAGGGTTGCCATACCCTCTTCCAGGTACAGTGCAATTGGAAATAACCAATTTTGTGGAACACTGAATATTTGAGAAATATTTTCAGCATTGAAACATTTTAGTAACTTCTTTTTGTACACAGATTTTGAGGGAAAAGTTTAAGAGGATTTTATAGGAACCCTCTGAATTTCTGAATTTGTCGCTAAGTCATGTCCGACTCCTTGCAACTCCACGAACTGTAGCATGCCAGACTTCCTCGTCCTTCACCATGTCCTGAAGTTTGCACAAACTCATGTGCATTGAGTCAGTGATAACACCATTTTGATAAACTAAATGCTATTTAAAAAGCACTTTGCATAGTCTGGGATAAGTACATCATGAAGTGAAATCCAATTAAGTTCTCCTAATCAAATAAATGAATTCATTTATGTTTTGTTGGGAAATAACTCATACTGTGGTACCCCAGCAACCAAGTGAGATTTTTACAGAAAACTTGACTTACTCTCAACTGCTTTAGTTTTTTCACTGTTTAAATTTGCAAGAGGGACTTCCCTTGTGGTCCAATGGCTAAGACTCTGTGATCCCAAAGCAAGGGACCTTTGAGCCCTGGACAGGGAAGTAGATCCCACATGACGGAACTAAGACCCCATACAGTCAAATAAGTTAGTCAATTTTTTTAAAAAGTGCAAGAAATTAACACCAGGGCACTGACAGACTGGAAGTAACATGTTAATGAAACGTCTTCCAGCAGCAGGGAGCCCCCATCAGGACCTGCCCCGCTCACAGCCACTTCACCTGCGTTCTCAGCCCCACCAGCCATAACATACTGACAGCCACACAGAGACAGTCACCAGGCAAGGACAGACACCTTTCTAGACCGGGACACACTGCAGAGCCACTCGGAGATGTCACCAGGAGCAGACAGACAGACACCTCCCCCAGACCGGGGACTGTCAGAGGGCAAGGCCGGTGTTCTACCTTCTTTTGATCAGTCAGAGTGCCTCCATTTGCCCAATCATGCTTCCTGATGATTCTCTAATATGCTTGGGGGCGGGGATAGATTAATTAACTGTAGAAACAGTGTAAAGCTGAAGGATTTTGCAGAACGTCTCTGGTCATTTCAGAGAGCTACCCGGTTTCCACCTGCAGCGCCAACTCTCAGGCTGGGACCCACTCACCCTCGCACACGGGCTGCAGTCCTGACCAGGACCCGTTGAGCAGACACGTCCACTCGGCCGAGCCCCGAAGCTGGTAGCCCATTTCACAGGAGAAGTAGAGGAGGCTCTTGGCCTTAAACTCCTCTCCAAGCTGGGACCCATGGGCTGGGGTCCCTGGATCACTGCAAAATCCAGGGTTATTTCCTGTGGAACACAAACACACGGCAATAGATGATGCTGTTTAAAACAGGGCTGTTATGTTTAAAGAGAATAAACTTTATGTAAATATATATCAAACATGATCACAGTCATAGAACATTCTGGAAATCTTATGAGACAGATTTTCTTTATTACAGCACAAAAGTAGAAGACTCTAAGAAATTGTTTCCATATAACTAAAATCAAAATAGTTTCTTAAAATATGGTAGTGACAATAATTGATATTCTTTGGAAGAAACAAAACACTGGGGCCATGAGTACAGGAATTGCTCACTGGAAATGCTGGTGAGGATGCCCACAGGGAGATGGGGGAAGGTGTGTTGGGAATAAAAAAATCAAATAAGAGGTGTGATCCACTGAGTTTTATTATGAAACATTCCTGGAAGAATTAAGATGATTTCTTTTCCAAAACAGGACCAATGTGATTGTTGATGATGGAGAAACCGTGCTGGGACAGGCATTTAAAGAGAAGAAGAAGCCCAAGATGCCAGTGGTGTATCTAGGGGCGTGTGTGGCTGGAGTGGGTTAGTAACCACTTTAGAGATGGGAGCCCCCAGTCCGTGTTTCGCATGACGGACGACCTGCCCGCGCCAGCTCACCTGTGCAGTGGGGCAGGGCTCCGCTCCAGTGACTGTCCTCCTGGCAGGTTCTGCTGCTGTTGCCCACGAGACTGCGGCTCCCTCGGCACGAGTAGTGGACCACGGCCCCATACGTGAACAGGTCTCCTGTGAGTATGGCGTTGGCAGGGACGCCGGGGTGGCCACATGATATCACTTGAAAAAAAAGAAAATAATAAGTACACTGTTCCTGTTAAGTTGCTCTGTGTTAGTCACTGTACTACAGAGACTCATACAATCACCACCTATTAACAGAAACACATCCCTGGTACCCTGTGGATGAGAAGCGTCAACTTCCAGACAACCCTCCCTCACACATTACTGAAGACCAGGAAGGGTCTGTCAGTAAAACTTTGTTTTTATTTGTTTGTTTTTTTTATTAAGGTAGCTGTGCTGAAGGTAGAAATTGACATTGAGATTTTCAAAAAGAAAGTCATCTACCTAAATTTTTCCATCTTCCTTAACTGTATCCTAAGTAAGTAAGGTACATACAAAATGATACAGACTAACACAGATCCCCAAAGCTACCACCATTATTTCTTCAGTTAGTACGCTTTGCATGGAGACAAAACTCAAGTAAAATCTGCTCCCTCTTCCAGATCACCTGACTAGAGAGACCATTCTAACAATTTTTCCTTGAATAAGTGGCAATCTAAAAATGTCTTTTTTTTCGTATTTTAAAATTGGATCTAGGTGCTTTATAATATTAAGTTTCTGCTGTGCAAAAAAGTGAATCAACTATACATATACATATATCCTCTATTAAAATGTTTAAGTTAAAAAGTAATGATAAATTACTGATTTATTTTTTCCTCAAGTGTTCCACTTATTTCTTTATACCAAATGAGGCCCATCATCTGATCATTATTCCTCAAAAAAGAAAATTCTAGAATCCAGATTACCACAGAATGGTAAAGATTCTCTCTTTTTGTAAAGTCCAAAATTTTTATGGTCAACCATTAAAAAAAAAAAATTATACCATGTTCAAACAACTAACTGGACTGAGGGTGCCAGAAATGATCCAAAGGGAGCTGATTTCACATCCAAGAGAGATTGCATTTGGTCATCAGCAACCGCAGAGCGACACCAACCAGAGAGGCAGGCTTCAGAAAGGCCCCAGTGCCCCCCGAGTCACACTCGCCCTCCCCTGACACTCTCTCCTCCTGACCTCCACTCACTGGAGACAGGAGTTTACTGGCGTCCTAAAAAGAAGCTAACTAGTGCTGAATCAGTGACGTGCTTGGTGAATGATCAGTTCCAGGTAAATAAAAAAAGCAGTGAACAGGACAAATGGAGATGGAAGCTGGCTTAGCCACTGCCGATGTGAAAACAAAACGCTCCTCTGAGAGCGCTGTTCCCAAGCTGCGGTAGCTGCAGCGGTTCAGGACAGCAGAGGTGGGAACTCGCCTGCTGGGAAAACGAGATCAGTGAAAAGCAGGTTCCTGGAGGCCTGGGGCGCAGGGGCATCATCACAACCAGTAATGGAAGTCTCGGGGACGCCAGGGAAGAGGCTCAGCAAATCTTTGGGGAGAAAATAAAACTAATTTCTCTGAAAAATTCCCATGTGTGAAGGCATGGAAAACCAGAACACATAACATATGCTGAGAACTGTAACATTTATAGATTTATTTTTTATTGGTCATATAAGCCTGTACATTTGTTTTTGAAAGGCATCACTCTCTTTCTCCATAGGAATTAACTGTATTGTTACACTTAGAATTTGACACAGGTTTCCAGGCATATTCAAAGGGCTTTGAGGGACCTTGACTTTCAGGAAAAGTCGCCGGCACCAGGCCACTCTGAAAATGTACTGAAAACACTGTAATCACGAGGGATAAAATGGACCATTACACTTTTTCAGTATTTCAATTCATAATGTAATGGTCATTTCCCATTTTCTCTATGCACACAAAATGAATACTAAAAATATAAGATATTGATTTTAAGAATGGTTTTGTTTCTGATTGATTTTTAAAGGACCAAGGAGAGTGACTCCCTTTCCTTCATTTTCAGACAGTTTTAAAAAGACACAAGACGATTCTCTTTGAACTCAAGGACAATATGCTATTTCAAGGGAAAGAAAGTAATAATGTAGCTAGTGGGTGAAAAAGAAAACGCCCCTGCTTATCTGCATACTGTTAATAACGTTTTCTGGGAAGCCAGACCTGTGACCTGTAATTCTGTCTGCCCGGAGCAGCACCGTACTCTTCCTCTTGGTTAAACCTAAGGGTCAGGAGGAGGTGCCAACCAGGATGTGTCGTCTTTATCAGGCTCACACTGGACTGTCCCGGAAGAGCTGATGAGACAAATGAGGCCCCCAGAGTGCTCCACGCTTCCAGCCACAGATACTGGGTCGGTAGATGGAGATTCCACATTTTAGCCGTTTGCAGTATCTCTGAACCAGGGTCCCCAGGGAGGCAGGTCTGTTGCGAGAGGCACAGTCTGGGGCTGCTGGCACCTGGGTGAACCAGTGGATCTGCCCACCTGCCGGGCTGAAGCAGGAAACGAGCTGAGGAGCGGACACAGGGACAGTAGGGTCCAGGCAGAGCTGACCAGGCTCCTTGCCCTCTTAAAGATATCATAAAAACTAGTACAAGTTGTGATGGGGTCAGGTAAAAAAATCAGTACCTTTCTGAATACTTAACAAAACATGTTGTGTTGGTGGTGTTCAGGGCTCCGCGGCATGAGAGCCCAGACAACCCCACTCACCCGGACGCTTGGGCAGAGAGCGATCCCACAGGCCGTTCGCCGTGCAGGTGAGGGCAGAAGATCCCAGCAGGTAGGAGCCCCTCTTGCGCTGATACTGATACACGACACTCCATACTCAAAACCTTCGGGGAGGCTCTGTCATCGTGACTGACAGATGTCGTTTTCCACCAAGCCTGGGTTGGAGCAGTTCACCACTGCGGAGGGGAGCACATCACACATAGTTTCCACGCAGCTCTACAGTTACAACCCTGGATGGTGCAACCCACTCCAGGGTGCTCAGCCGGGGAATCCCAGGGGGACAGAGGAGCCAGTCCAGGGGGCCACAAAGAGTCTGACACGACTGAGCGACTAAACAACATTTATAAATGAAACAGACTGCAGAGATGGTGAACTCGTCCTCCTGGTTTTGGGAAGTTTGTAAGATGTTTGTAAGTTTGTAGGGTAAGGGAGTTAGAGAAGGAGAGGTTCAGAAGAAGGAGACCTGCACTTTACAGGAACAGATCACCTTTAATGAGGCGAGAAGGGGCAGCAGTCAGATTAGTGAGCTGCTGCCCTAACCCAAGAAAAGAGTGAGTGTATGTAGGCATATACGTGGAGATCTACTGTCTTAAGGGGGCCTATTCTTCTCCAAGGTTCTTCAGAGTAGTTATCTCTTAAAGGGCTGGGGCAAGGAATTCTGGAGATCGGCCAGAGGCTGGACCGGCTGGGAACTGGGCATAATCAACTTTAATGTCCATTTTCACCCCCTTCGGTGAGAGAGTTTTTTGTTTTGCATAGAATGGTGGGGAGGACCGGAGGGGAGTTTTAACTCCAGGCTATTTTGAGCCCTGTAACTTTCCTTCATTGACAACCTCACAGTCAAGGCTTAGTGTGAAATCCTGCAGGCTTGATCAGCTCCACTTTCTGCTCTAGGCCACTAGACTTCAAACAAAATCAAGCAACATATTGGCTTCTACAGCAATTTTAACAACATAAGGCTGATAGCTTTTAATGGCTTCTTAATAATAAGCTTCTTCAATGTAAAGTCTAAAATTATTTTCCTGGTTACATTATGTTATGAAAATGTTAAAATACAAATGACTGAAGTTAAAGTCTTTGATACTTTTGAACTGTGGTATTGGAGAAGACTCCTGAGAGTCCCTTGGACAACAAGATCAAACCAGTCCATCCTAAAGGAAATCAACCCTGAATATTCGTTGGAAGGGCTGATGCTGAAGCTGAAGCTCTAATCCACTGGCCACTTGACATGAAGAACTGACTCATTGGAAAAGACCCAGATGCTGGGAAAGACTGAAGGCAGGAGGAAGAGGAGGCGACAGAGGGTGAGCTGGTTGGATGGCATCACCAACTCAATGGACGGGAGTTTGAGCAAGCTCCGGGAGATAGTGAAGGACAGGAAAGCCTGGCGTGCTGCAGTCCATGGGGTCGCAAAGAGCTGGGCACAACTGAGCAACAAGAACAAAAAGTCTTTGTATGTGAGTGTGATGCTTTAGGACAGCCTGAGACACAGTAATTAATTCTTCTCCCTACCCCCACCAACATGCACTAATGTCTCGATATGTTTCTGCAGTGATTTCTGTTCTATGTCTAGAGTAAATAAAAATGACTTTCACAGGCAGAAACAGCTGTTATATCTTTTCCTCTTTATTCTGTTGGCTCCACTAGGGGGTTCAGCTATCTACCTCCCACGGGGAAAAAAATAAGGCAGAGAGATTTTAACTTATTTGTTCAGGACAGAGAGAACTCTGTAATATCCCATGCCATTGCTGCAAATAGCTGTGTTTTACCACACGGAGAGCAGGCTGCCAGCCAAGACAGCTCACAGCCACGAAAACCACCCTTCCGCCCCTATTCTTTCTCCTTGGTGTGCAATTCCTGTCTGGGATCCAGTGGCCCCAGATGCCTTGTGACTGAGGTGAGCTGTTAACACCGTGGACAAAGGAGTCAGATTACCTGAGATGACCAACCAGGTTAATGGCGCAAAGACAAGTCAGGCAGGTCAGACCTGCAGGAACTGCTACACTTTTTTAGTTGGAGACAGTGTCCAGCAGAGAGTGACACATCAGAGTGAAACCGGTGACAGACTCACTGTGGGGGTCCTCCCACATCCCAGCATCACACCCCTCAACACGCTAAGCAGAGACCTGGCCTTGATGTTCATGTGTTAAAACCTGACACAAAACAGGAAGTCCTCAGCTGGAGAGAATGGGAAACATTGTATCATATACACCGCCCAGGTGGAGTCCCAGAGGTTGTGGATGTTGGGAGTTAAGACATTCATGTAATGACCAGCAACCCGTCTGAGGTCACAGAGGTGATTTCACCAGAGCTAGGTGAAGGTCAGAGCTCCAGACTACCTGAGGCCTTCTGAACCTCCTGCAGTGGACGCAGGGCTTTGTGAGAAACGGAGGAGGGAGGAGGGGGGGAAGAGGTAGGGCAGGAAAGAACCATTTCCTTATCTTCCTAAATTTTTTTTGTTTTACAACTTCTGTTTATATTTCTTTTTCTGTGTTGACTCCTGTTTCTTATTTCTTAATTTCTTTTATGGCTCATTAAGAATCAGATCACAAACAGGAAAAATATTAGAAAATGATGCTCCATAATGGAAACTATAGTCAAATTCTTTGGCAGAGGGAAAAATGGGGAAAAAAAAAATGCTTTTTTAAAAAAAGCATTCATAGTTGATTAGAGTTCTGAGTAATATGTGTTTTTAAATATTCCAATAGAATGGATTATGCAAAGTTGAGAGGACAATCGAGGGGGAGATGACGCTGCAGTGTTCAGTGTACTGCACAGACTCAGTGTTTTCAGATTGTTTACCAACTGCATGAATCAAAATTTAAGATTACTGGTCACAGGGGGGAAAATAATTTATTATTTTTCAAATACATGAAAGTTACCGTTCATCTTTTATCAAAAACTGTTAAGAATAAAGACATTGACTTTAAGTGTAATGAGACATTCAGATTTGATGATGAAACATTCTACTTGATTATAATTGATTCTAATTAAGTTTCAGAGGCAGGTGGGGTGGAGAGACTGAGAACCTACTATGTGTCAGGCACTTTGCTAAGCATGTCACAATGCACTGGTTTAATAACTGATGCTTTTGAATCGTACTGCTGGAGAAGACTCTTTTTTATTTTATTTTTGGAGAAGACTCTTGAGAGTCCCTTGGACAGCAAGGAGATCGAATCAGTCAATCCTTAAGGAAATCAACCCTGAATATTCACTGGAAGGACTGATGCTGAAGTTGAAGCTCCAGTACTTAGATCACCTGATGCAAAGAACTGACTCATTGGAAAAGACCCTGATGCTGGGAAAAATTGAAGGCGGGTGGAGGAGATGATAGGATGAGTGGCTGGTTGGCATCAACAGACATGCATTTGAGCAAGCTCCAGGAGACAGTGAAGGGCAGAAGAGCCGGGCGTGCTGCAGACCATGGGGTCGAAAATAGTCGGACATGACTTAGTAATCGAACAAACAACTACATACTTGATGCCATTTTATTCCTTGTTTTCCATTTTTCTGTAGTTCTCTGTTCACTTCTTGTTTCTCCTGTTGAGGTTTGGTTTTTCTTTGGTACTGTGCTTGGCTTCCTTTTGTTTTGGTTTTTGTGTAACTTGTATCTATTGTAGGTTTTAGTTTATGATTACCATGGGGGTCATACATTGACTCATAATTTTATATACTTGCTTTACACTGACAGTCATTTAAGGTCAAACACTTTCTAAAAGATCTGCTTATTTAACTTCCCTTGTACACTGTCTATATATTTGATTCTATATTTTACATCTTGATGTTCATCTCCTTACTGTTAGTGGCTGTAACTGCTTTTACAATTATGTTGCTATTCAGTTGCTAATTCATGTCCAACTCTTTGTGATCCTATAAACTGCAGCATGCCAGGATGCCATGTCCTTCACTATCTCCCTGAGTCTGCTCAGACTCATGTCCATAGAGTTAGTGATATCATCCAACCGTCTCATCCTCTGTTGTCCCCTTCTCCTCCTGCCTTCAATCTTTCTCAGCATCAGGGTCTTTTCCAATGAATTGGCTCTTTGCATCATGTGGCCAAAGTACTGGAGCTTCAGCTTCAGCATCAGTCCTTCCAGTGAACATTTAGGGTTGATTTCCTTTAGGATGGACTGCTTTGATCTCCCTGCAGTCCAAGGGACTCTCAAGAGTCTTCCCTAGCACCACAGTTTGAAAGGAGCAATTCTTCAGCACTCAGCTTTCTTTATAGTCTAGTTCTCACATCCGTATGTAACTGCTGGAAAAACCGTATTGCTTTGACTATACAGACCTTTGTCGGCAAAGTGATGTCTCTGTTTTTTAATATACTGTCTAGGTTTGTCATAGCTTTTCTTCCAAGGAACAACCGTCTTTTAATTTTGTGGCTACAGTCACCATCTGCAGTGATTTTGGAGCCCAAGAAAATGAAATCTGTCTCTGCTTCTACTTTTTCCCTATCTCTTTGCAATTAAGTGATGGGAGCAGATGCCATGATCTTAGTTTTGCTAAATGTTGAATTTTAAGCCAGCTTTTTCACTCTCTTCTTTCACCTTCAAGAGGCTCTTTAGTTCCTCTTCACTTTCTGCCATTAGTGTGGTATCATCTGCATATCTGAGGTTGCTTCTCCCAGCAATCTTGACTCCAGTTTGTGGTTCATCCAGCCCCATTATTTCACATGATATCCTCTGCATATAAGTTAAATAAGCAGGGTGACAATATACAGCCTTGATTTTGAATCAGTCCATTGATATACATACTGGTTTAAGTGACCTTACATCCTTTGCATATTTGCCTTTTCTGTTGGGCTTTCCCATTCCTATATTCTTATTACTTCTTCATTTGGAAAAAATCCTTCAGCGCTTATTCTGGACTAGAATCAGTATTGCTGAATTCCTTTGTTTTTTGACGCCTGAGACATTCTTTCCCCCTTCTGTCCTGTGTGATGCTCCTCCTGGGGCAGTGCCCTCGTTTTCCCTTTAGAATTTTGCATGCTTCGTGCCACTCCTTTCAGGCTGTGGGTTTTCTGCAAAGGAATCAGCTGAAGCCTTATGGGGATTCCCTCGTATTTGACTGCTCTCCTGTTGCTGCTTTGAATCCTCTGTAACTTTTGCCATCTGAATCGTTCTGTGTCTCGGTGTGGGTCTGTCTTTATGCATCTTGTTCAGGAACTTCTGTGCTTCCTGTACTTGGCTTAAGGTTTGGGACGTTTTCAACCATAATTTCTTACACATTATTGACCAGAGATGCATCAATATGTGTTTTGTTACCCAAACGTTATTCACTAGACCTTTCAATATTCACTTACATAAAAAAAATCACTGGCCACAGGTGTTAGTTTCTGCAAAAATCTCTAGTCAATAGTGTGTTAAAGTACACTTGATACCCCTTTCTTTTCCTTGTGGGTAATCTCTACAATGTAAATGCTGACACAGTTTAATCCCATGTGAAAGTGAAAGTCGCTCAGTCATGTCCGACTCTTTGTGACCCCATGGACTGTCCATGGAATTCTCCAGGTCAGAACCACTGGAGTTGGTAGCCTTTCCCTTCTCCAGGGGATCTTCCCAACCCAGGGATCAAACCCAGGTCTCCCACATTGCAGGCAGATTCTTTACCAGCTGAGTCACAAGGAAAGCCCATTTAATCCCATGGATCCTGTGTATTGCTCTGATTTTTTTTTCATTTGTCTTTCCATCTGCCGTTCTGATTGGGTGATTTCTATTCTTTCAGTTCACTTATGTGTTCTTCTATGTCATTTAGTCTGGGATTCATTGCTTCTAGAGTGCTTTTTAATCTCAGATTTAATTACCTATTTTTGATTAGATTGTCTTTACAGCTTCTAGCTCCTTCTTAAAATGATCTGTGCTTAGATTAGTTCTTAATTCAGCTGGCATTTTTATTACCAACATTTTAAATTCATTGTCTGGTAGACTACCTCGGGTTTGTTATTTCTTCAGGGTTTTTCTGTTTCAGTTGAGAGTCATTCCTCTGCCTTTTCACTGTACTTAAATTCTGTGTCTATGGATTTAGGTGGAAGTTACCTGGTGTGACTTTGAAGGGGTGTCCTTATGTGGGAGCGTCCCTGGACAGGCTGTATCCAGGGTGTGTAATGACTTTGAAAGGGTGTCCTTACGTCGGCGCGTCCCTGGACAGGCTGTACCCAGGGTGCGCTGGCCACCGTCGCTGCGGTGCTGGTGCTGGAGCGGAGCTTCTACAGGGTGTGGCAGGACTTCTCTGCTCAGAGGCCCCCACCCAGTCAGGGCCCTGGGGAGTGTCTGCTCCCAGGAGTGGGCGCCCTGAGGGCAGCCCGGAGCTGGCTTTGTTCCTTCAGGGTGTGTCTCCTTCCTGCCCTGGGGCCGCTGCGGGAGCACGCGGGGCTCAGGTGTGTACACAGCTCTGTGCTGGCGTCGGTGCCCTTGCTCACAGGCGACAGCGTCACGTGTCTCCCGTGGTGGTCGTCCCGGATCCAGTGCAAGGCGGGGGCATGTCACGGGTGGGGGAGACGGTCCGCTCAGCTGGGAGCGGGGGGCCGTGGGGCTCATGGGGCTCCCCTGCTGTCAGGGGGCTGGGCTGCCCCTGTAGCGCTGAGTGCCAACAACGGCCGCCACCCATCCGCCCTCACGCCAGGCCCCTGGGCCACCTGTGTCCCCAGATTGAGTCTTTCCCCGGGGACCTGGCTTCCAAACTGTGGCGTGGAGTGTGGTGCTGGAGCGTTGCTCAGCTCAGGTTGGGGAGCCTGGCAAGGTGGCTGCCGGATGAGCTGCCTCTCCACCTTGTCCAGTGGGGCCAGCACCTGTGTGCTCCTTGTGGAAGCAGCTAGACGCCTTCAGCCTTCCAGGGACGCCTGCCTCCTCCAGGTAGGGTCCCAGGCCTCGGATGCCCGGTCTGTGGTGTGACTGGCTCACTCCCAAGGGCACGCACCCACCACGCAATCTCCCTTCCTAGCCCTCCCTGGGGGTCCTGCACCAGGGCTTTTCCCCCCATCCTACCTGATTACGTGTCTACCCAACAGCCTCGGCTGTACCGCGGTTCTGCTGGTTTCCAATTAGTTTTCCATGAGAACAGCTCTCCACACGTGGACGTGTTCTGATGGGTTTGTGGGAGAAGATGACCTCCACGTTCCCCGTCCCCATGGGTCCTGACTACACTGTGACTCTGCCCGTCCCCATCTTGTGGTTCCTTCTTTAGATCCTGTAGATCTTTTCCAGTAGGTTCTGCATTTTGTCAACAGTAGTTTCTTTGCAAACTGTAGTTTTGTTTGCCCGAGAAAGGAGGTGAGCTTTGGGTCTTCCTACTCTGCCATCTTGGGAAATCTCGCGCTCCTGTTGACTCCCCTGAAACGTAACTACTAAGAGCCCACTATTGACCAGAAGCCTTACCGATAACATAGTTTATTAACACATTTTCTATGTCATATATATCATATGGCATTTTTATAATAAAGTAAGTAGGGAAAGATCATTAGGAAGAGGATGTTTACAAACTACGATGGGTGTTTTCAAGGTGAGTCATCCGTCAGGACGTCAGTATTATGATGTAGAACAATGTAGGTGTTCTACGTGTAGGAACACTAGCCATCAAAAGCACCGTGAGAGCTCACCTCTATGTTACAGGTGTTCACACACTGCCGGTGCAGAGCAGCACCGTGGTTTAGGCAGTCTGGACATGGAACACACCTGCCACTCCAGAAAACGAAGAACGCTGGGCCCTGTGGAGCCAGCAGGGCCAGCTGTCCCGAGGGGACTTAGGAGACCCTCTGGGCTCTGGGCCCCAGCCCGACAGCTTGCGTGCATGTCTGAAGAGTAACTGAGGGAGGCCAGAGTCTTGCATCTCCCCATGCGTAGAAAAGCAATGAAATGATTAACTTGAAATGTCTGGGGTGCCTGTGTGATGAGCAATAATCCTTGATTTTTTTTTCTTCCAGCAAAAAATGTATACACCTTGGCTCTGCTCTACCCTCCTCTGAGAGGCTGGGCTATCGAGTCCTCAGTAAGGTCCCCAAATAACCTAAAACTTGAAAGTTGAGCTGTGTGTTTCCCTCCGGTCAGTGGTTTTGGTGACCACGAGGGGGCCCAGAGCAGACATCTCCCCTTCGCCAGAACTCAGCAGGGAGGCTCCTGTGCCCACTTGCCTCCCTGGGGAGTCTCCTGGGTCTCAGATCTGCGATCGGCTGATCCTATCCTATTTGCTGGTGGATAAATCCCTCACTGGAGGAGCAGGTTACTTTCAAGAAGAGGTACCTGGGTTACTCTAGTTGAGAGACGAGAGGAAGGTTGAGTCAAAGACACGGAGTGTGGCTGGACTGGGAGTTAGGTGTGAGACTGATGTGTCATTTTCCCCTGAATTGGATGAGGGAACAGGGGCTGTTGGAATACAGACAAAGCTGTCCCTTCTTTGGAGCAGCAAGCTGGTATGAACTTTTTCCCATCAGTGGTGGCTTTCTTGGACAGCTGGGAAACTCATGGCAGTGGTGGAGGTAAGTCTTCACACTGGACTGCTGTCTGCAGAGGGAAACTCACTCATCTGAATTAAAAACTTGCTCAGCTGGGGACACACGTAAGGGCCAGCCAGTCTGTTCCAACCACCCACAGTGGATTTAGACTACAGAAGGTAGAGACATGACTCTAGGCTACAATCTATGATCACAACCAGCAGGCTGGCCTACCTGGGATCATCACTAGTGATTTTTATCTCAACAAACAGTCAGTTTGTTGATCAGACAGTCTGAACGGAATGCTTATTGGTATTTAGATGCTCCTGCAGGTCAGGAAGCAACAGTTAGAACTGGACATGGAACAACAGACTGGTTCCAAATAGGAAAAGGAGTATGTCAAGGCTGTATATTGTCACCCTGCTTATTTAACTTATATGCAGAGTACATCATGACAAACGCTGGGCTGGAAGAAGCACAAGCTGGAATCAAGATTGCTAGAAGAAATATCAATAATCTCAGATATGCAGATGACACCACCCCTATGGCAGAAAGTGAAGAGGAGCAAAAAGCCTCCTGATCAAAGTGAAAGAGGAGAGTGAAAAAGTTGGCGTAAAGCTCAACATTCAGAAAACTAAGATAATGGCATCTGGTCCCATCACTTCATGGCAAATAGATGGGGAGACAGTGGAAACAATGTCAGACTTTATTTTTCTGGGCTCCAAAATCACTGCAGTGGTGATTGCAGCCATGAAATTAAAACACACGTACTCCTTAGAAAGAAAGTTATGACCAATCTAGGTAGCATATTAAAAAAAAAAAAAAAGCACCAGACAGTACTTTGCCAACAAAGGCCCATAGTCAAGGCTATGGTTTTTCCAGTGGTCATGTATGGATGTAAGAATTGGACTGTGAAGAAAGCTGAGCACTGAAAAATTGATGCTTTTGGACTGTGGTGTTGGAGAAGACTCTTGAGGGTCCCTTGGACTGCAAGGAGATCCAACCAGTCCCTCCTAAAGGAGATCAGTCCTGGGTGTTCATTGGAAGGACTGATGCTGAAGCTGAAACTCCAGTACTTTGGCCACCTCATGGAAGAATTGACTCATTGGAAAAGGCCCTGATGCTGGGAGGGATTAGGGGCAGGAGGAGAAGGGGACGACAGAGGATGAGATGGCTGGATGGCATCACCGACTCGATGGACATGTGTTTGAGTAAACTCCGGGAGTTGGTGATGGACAGGGAGGCCTGGTGTGGTGCAATTCATGGGGTCACTTTGGTGCGATTCATGGGGTCACAAAGAGTGGGAAACGACTGAGCAACTGAACTGAACTGAAAGAGGAAATGATAAACTTTTATAGGAAATCAACCAAAAGATACAGTACCAGAATTTTTCAAAGCTGCCTCTCCCTCTGCTCCTGCCTCAAGTCCTCACGGTCCTGAACTGTCTGATTCCTTGTCTCTTCATCACCTTGCCTCCTGCTTCTACCCCCCCAGTAAAAGAGGACGTACAGTCAGAAGTAATTACATCCCCTTTAAGGTAGAACCTACCACAGGAAGAGGCGCGCTCCTGTCTGTGCTTACAGACACACCCTGGACTCGAGCAAAACATAGGGCTTTAGTGAGGGGGCTTCCCAGTCCTTGTCAGGACCTACTGCGATTTGTAAAGGAATTGCAGGTAAACATCCAAACCTGTGAGCCCGGGTTTGCAGATCTGTACCCGTTAATGCAGCTGTTCCTGAAAACAAAGCGAGAGAAAGGAGTGACAAAGCAGAGTGGGACCACCTCTCAACCAATTTGATTCCCATGGTTCACAGGTTCACAGCGAATGCAATTATCTCATAAATTACTTATCTCCAAGTCTTTCCCCCAAGCTGTAGTCTGGACAAAGATTCAGCAGTGCAAACAAAGACAAGATGAATCCTGGATTATGAGGTTTGAGAGCTTTCAAACACTATTCTGAATGTTCTCTAACAGTCAAAATGATCCTTTGCTTAACTCCACTGTTTTAGAAGGTGTTAATGAGGAGCTGGCTGCTCTAAATAAAAAATACAACTTAGGTTGGTCAGCATTACAATACAATGCCCTTATCATGCTGGCTGACCAACTTTTCAAAACTACTGAGAGAAAGAAATACATCTATAAAAATCGTGAACCTTCGACTGTACCAGTTAAATAACCAAAGTCAGGCTGCAGTTAATAAACCCCCGTTCAGTCCTCGACTGACAAAGGAACCTCGCACTTGCTTTTCTGTGGGTTTAAGAAGAAAAAGTCATTGGAGAAGGAACTGTAGGAAGATGAAGAAAGATTTTAAAACAGACTAGATGTCAGAGCAGAATCCAAAGTTAGACAAGAATGAGGCTGCTCCAAGGGAACACTGGGAGTCTTTCGTCTTTAACACACGGGGAGAAGTAGAAAAGAAAACACAGGGGAAAACAGTTAAAGCCCCAACAGGAGGGGGCAGCTTTTCAGGTTTAAACCTGACCGAAATCTGAGGCTTCTGCCCGGGAGTGGTGCTTAATGCAAATGGTGGGGTTTTAATGTACCTGTTAAGGCTCTTTAGAATTTTCCTTCAGTTCAGTCACTCAGTCGTGTCTGACTCTTTGAGACCCCAAGAATTGCAGCACGCCAGGCCTCCCTGTCCATCACCAACTCCCAGAGTTTACTCAAACTCATGTCCGCATTGAGTCGGTGATGCCATCCAGCTATCTCATCCTCTGTTGCCCCTTTCTCCTCCTGCCCCCAATCCCTCCCAGCATCAGGGTCTTTTCCAATGAGTCAGTTTTCCATAGGAGAACTTAAAGGAAGGAGCTCACCTTTTCTAGTACAAAGTGCCCCATTCACCCGATAGAAAGAGATTAGAAACTTACGAAGGCCAGGCTCCCTTTCCTCCTAAGGGGAAATGTTCTTAGACCTGAAAGACGAGATTCTATGTGACCCACGATCAGGTGATGCAGGGGAAGATTGCCGGGCTGAGCACCTTGAGAGTTACAGGCACGTGATCCTCCTGACAAGGAAAATGCATTCCCACTGCAAAGACCGGAGTCGAGAACAAGGCCCTCTGCCCGATCCTCATTAGTGCCCGTGGAGGGAGGAAGCCACAGCGAAGCAAAACCTTTTGCTCCAATTGCACCACCCCTGTAACTCTCTCCGCCAGTTAACCCCCCAGACGGGCGCACGGTCA